ATCCAGACTCGACATTGGGATTCAGACATTTGACGAGGGATTATTTGGGACCTGTACCGAAGACTTGGTGTTGACGACACTCCCATCTTCCCCTCCTCTTCGTCTAAACCCCCCTCTTCTTTGTCGTCTAAACCCCCCTCTTCTTTGTCTGTGTATGGTTGGGGACTGGCTTATTCTTCCTGTGTGAACGCCAGGCCCCTTCACACCATGGAATGATGATGATGTATGTTTGGTCTGCATGGCAACATCGATTGTTCGGATCATTGGTATATTAGCCTTCCACTGCGCTATCTTGTACAATGTGAGCGAGGTCGGTTCTTGTTCTGGTCTGCATCTTTACGGTATGCAACACCAACCCTGTTCATGGGCCAGTGCTGAAACTCGATGCTGCCCTTGGCCAAGCCTGTTCTTGGGCCACTGTTGAAACACAATGCCCCTTTTGGCCAAACCTTTTCATGGGCTGAAACTCAATGCTCCCCTTGGCCAAGCCTGCCCGCTTCCCGCTTGAAGAAAAGAAAGACTGAGTGCCGCATGTAATCACTGTGCCCTCAGACCCACGTTGGCCAATCCTGTTCATGGCCTCGTGCTGAAACTCAATGCTCCTCTTCACCAAACCCGTTCATGGCCCAGTGCTGAAAAACTCGATGACCCCATTGGCCGAGCCTGTTCATGGGCCAGTGCTGGACTCAATGATCCCCTTGGCCAAGCCTGTTCACCAGCGAGTGCTGAAACTGAGGAAGCAGGTTGAGTGCCCCTGCCCGCCAGTGATCTGCTTCCTTCAAACCAACTACTGCTCATGGACCTGCTATGGTGGCAGCGCCCCTGCTTACATAGTTCATACTGTTGACACATTCCTGCACCTTGTGCTCGATTTATGTATATCATCCTTGTGCAGGGGCAATGCCAATCTTCTCCGTATTGTTCCAATTTTAACGGATGTCCCAAAGGACCTTTTCCACCGTTCTCACTTGAACCTCTCTGTGCTGCATTCTTGTCTTTCCAGGGCTACCATCAGTTTGGTGGTGCTGGGTGCTGTCCAGAGCTGTATGTTGCTTCCTTAGGGTAGCACTTGCAGGGAGAGCACTGATGCGATGGTGCTGCGGCGGTGGGAAGAGGGTTGCTAGGCTGCGAAGCCCTTGTTGGTGGCACTGGCTCTGCAGAAGCCATTTGGACACTGTTCTTCTCGCCTCCACTGTGACAGTCCTGGATGTCACACTCCTCTGTATGGACTCGTCATCCTCATCAGGCTACATGCTCATTGACGGATACCATCCCTGGGTCCTGGGAGGCTTTGCCCATTGTTTTCTTCTGGTAAAGAGATGGAGGGTGATATCTTCTACAGTACTTGGGCTAGTTTAGGGCTTAGTGTGGTACTGATTATTTGTCGACAGCCAGAAACAGTATCAAGGAGAGCCCCACCCCACACGTAACTGTTTATGAGCACATCATGAGTTCAAATCCTGGTGGAATCAGATGTATACAATAAATTCAATAATGTTTAGGGATGCCCCCTTACATTGGGACATCTCTGCCAAGGAGAGTATATTTTCTCCAACTCCGAGAATTGCAGCAGTGGTATTGGCCTTAAAAGTACCTGCTTATGCACTGCCTCTGGTTGGCTGAGAGGAACTCAGGTGGCTCTAAGAGTAGAGATAAGTGACTGGCTTTTGTGGTGTTGTTCATTGATTGGCTATTGTGCTGTCAGTTGTCCGTCAGCTTTTGTGCTGTTGCTCAGTAGTCGGCTTTCTGCTGTTCTTCATTCCATCCTACCGGTTAGGTTCTCATGCTCCACATACCGTGTCTGAAGGGTCGGGTCTTGACTTTTCTGTTTGTTTGAGTCTGCTATCAATTGCTTGCCGAAGACACCTGGGCTGTCAAATGTATGCATCTGCAACTTGCTGCTTTCTGCATATGAGCCCATCCACCTACACCACAATTATGCAGCTATCTCCATTTTAACTTTGAGGCTTGAGCTTTCCTGCAGTAGCCGGATAATTCTGGATGAAGAGGGCAAGCCCTGGGAAAAAAACGAGTCTGGATGAAGAGGGCAAGCCCTGGGAAAAAAACGAGCCCTGGGCGGAGAAAGGGGTGTGGCAAGTGCAGTACTTCTGGAACTTCTGGTGCAAAGCACAAACTACATGCAGAACAGAGAACAACCGCAGGAAGGGACTGCAGGAGTGCCAATCTTGGCAATGAAGCACGTAGAATAGAGAGCCATATGATATCTGACGATCTGCAGCTCATAAATTGAAAGCATTTCCGCTTTAATGGGTCAAATCCCTGAAGATGCAGCAGAATGGTGAAGCAGGGAATGGGTAGCGAGGAGGATCGACACGGACATTGTTCCAGCAAATGGCAACGTTTTTCTTTA